TCTCTCTCTCTCTCTCTCTCTCTCTCTCTCTCTCTCTCTCTCTCTCCTCCCTTTTTGAGGTACTGTCTTGCTATATAGTCCAACCTAGCTTTGCTATGTAGTCCTGTCCAGGCTGGCTTTGAACTGGCTACACAGAGCACACTGGCCTTGGATTTACAGTCCTGTTGCCCCCATCTCCTAAGGGATAGGCTTACAGGTGTGTGGCACCATGCCCTACAAGGAGCCCCTTCCATGTTACCTGACATCTTCCCTGGGATAGCTAGGACAACTCAGACTCAGAAGTCCAACCTAGGCAATTTTCTCCTTGCCAGTTCAGGTTTCCCCTGCTCAGTCCTCACATTACTCAGGGGGACCACAGCCCAGCCAGTAGCCAACAAGGCTCAAGCACCGTCCTGGCTCCCTTTTTCCTTACTGCTCCCTGCCTCTGCCACCAGCTGCCCCTGCTGTCTCTGGCTCCAAAGCACATTCCTAAGTTGTCATCCATGCTGTTCATTTCTTCTATATCCCCACTTTGCCTTTGTATTCGACAGCCTTCCCACTGGTCACCCAGGTTCTGCTTGCTCCTTGACCTCCCCACCTGTTGCCCTAACTGGTCTCCATCTGCCCATCTTAGAACTGGGAGGAGAAGGGAGAGAATGATGGGGGCCCCTTATACTATAGCAAAAAAGCTTCATTTGACATGAAAACAAAAATTGTGAGCAAGAAGGAAGTCTTTGATGACACAGAGTTGATACCTGTAATATCTAGAGACCATTCGTGTATCAATACAAAAAAATAGTCTGCTTTTAAAATGAGCACATAGGAACTCATGTGTAAAAACATTCTCGGTTTTGCTAATTGTAAGTGCTAATTAAAAAGTTGCACTAGTCAAATAACCAAAATTTAGGGAGAATAATCACATTCACTGTAATAAGGATGAGGATGTTTATATTCTTTCAAGTAGGAATGTCAGCTTGTATATGCTTTTAGGAAGGCCGTTTGACAGCGTTTCTCCTCTGTGATCCGTTGTACTGGAATGCTAGAATGAACACGTGTACCCACGTGTTGGAACAGCTTCTGTCACTGATGCCATCAATTCAACGAATACTTATTTTTATTTTGAGATAGGATCTCCCTCTGTTGTGCATATTGGCCTCAAACTCTTGGACACAGTGAGTCCCCTGCCTCAGGCTCTTGAGAAAATAGTTATGGAGAAGCTACTCAGAATGCACTTCATGGACATTTACTTAGGCCACCTTCTGGGTTGTGTCAACCTCAAAAGATATGTTTCTGCTGGGTGTGGGTGTGTATCTCTATTATCCCAGCTCACTTGAGTGGCTGAGGCAGGAGGATTCATCACAAGTTTGAGCCCAACTTGGGCAATTGATTGAGTTAGGAAGAACTGGTCTCAAAAAAAAAAGGCTAGCTAGTATTGTAGCTCAGTACAATGGCCTTGAGTTTAATTCCCAGTAACACCAACAAAGTTTTCTTACAGAATGTGATTAAATCTGAAATAAATAAAAACATCTAGAAACTCCCTACATAGTTGGAAACTATGGATCAAAGAGGAGCCCATAGCTCAAAGCGAAGCTCACAAGCTGGGGACTTAGTTCAGGGTTACAGTGTGTCCTGAGCATATGTGGGGCCTCAGTTTGATCCCAGCAGCACCCTAAAGCAAGACTGCCTCTCACCCCCACCCGAAATTAGTTTCCTCATTTCTCCATTTTTTGCACCCTCCCCTCTTCCTGTAGAAGACCTTCCTGGATATTTGTTCGAGAAGGGTCTCCCTAAGTTGCCTAGGATGGCCTTGAACTCCTGGGCTCAAGTGAGTCTCCTGCCTCAGCCTCCTGAGTAGCTGGGACTACAGGTTATATAGCTACTTGACTTCCTTTTTCTATTCTGAATGTGGAATACTAAATCAGACCCACATTTGTGGGTGAAGTGCCCTCTGCTGTTTCCCCAAGAATGAGTTTAACTGCACCCCATAAATTTTTTTTTAAATTTTATTTATTTATGTGTGTGTGTGTGTGTGTGTGTGTGTGTGTGTGTGGCCAGCTCAGCCCACCAGGGGGCGGGGCTGGCTGGCATGTGGTGCTGGGGGATTGAACCGCGGTCCCTGTGCTTTGCTAAGCTTGTTTGTTCTAAGTAGGTGCTTTAGACCACTGAGCCATCTCACCAGCCCCTGCACCCCATAAATTTTGATATGGCATGCTCTCAATTCCATTCAATTCAATATTCTTTCTCTCTCTCTGTCTCTCTGTCTCTCTCTCTCTTCCCGCAAAACCATTAGAAATGAAACAGAATTTTAAAAAACAAGGTGATATGAATTCAACAGTGGTTGTTATGTTGCATATTGTCTTCCAAGTAGTTCAGATATAAGCATGTAAAATTGATTAAAAATTAAGCATTACTTTTCATAAATTAATGTTCCTTTCCATAAACCAAGTCAAATTTTTTAGCTACAGGCTAATGTTATGTTTACAGCTAGTCCTCCATTCATGAGTTATGTATCTATCTGTTGATTTTAACCATCCCTGAATTGTAAATATTTGGGCGAAAGTCACCTCTCTACTGATCATGAATAGATTATTGAAATGTCATTATTCCCTGCTCAATACAGTATGACAAGTATTTACATAGCACTTAGATTGTATTAGGCATGCTAGGCAATCTAAAGATGATTTAAAATAGAGGGGAGCATTTGCGACATTTATAGGTAAAGCTGTATAAGGGGCTTGTACACCCCTGCATTTGTACCCATCGTGGTCCTGGAGCCACTCTTCCTAGGACACAAGGACGACTGAAGAGTCCTTTGGAACGGACCTAAACAGCACTCAGCCAATAAATAACCTGTTCTAAACATTTGGCTTCGGGATCATGTTCAGTGCAGCGCTACTTTCTGTTAGCGTAGTGTGCTCATGGATTACAAAGGTACTGAGCAATTCACTTCTAAAAAGCTCAGAGATTGCTCTGACTAAAGGAATAAGAACAGCACCAAGAGAGCAATGGGGCGAGGCGTTGTCGGTCGGGAGATGCTGGTGGGGGTTGCCGCTTTGGTCCCCACTCCCAGGAGGAGCTGTCCCAGCCTGCAGGAGGTCCTTATGTCAGTAACAGATGTAATCTTGGTCTGGAGGAAAATTCTAACTCATTGTTTAACATTAGTCAGACGTCTGCGGATAAGGACTGCCTGGCGGACACTAGCTTAATTAAAACTCCTGTAAAGTTGTACGCAGGAGCTGAGCGGCACGGTCTGTTCCCGGCGCCCCCGCTCCCCGCCCCTCCCTCCGCTCCTCGCTCCTCATTGGCCACCGCCGGCCGCCCCGGGCGCCCATTGGCCACTCCGAGGTCCGCGGCTTCTATAAGAGATGAGCATAGGGTTCGTCAGGTTGACCCGGCTCGCAGCAAGGCAGGTGCAGGGTGAGTGGGGCATGCATCCAGCGGGGACCTGGGGACACCATTAAGGTTCAGGGGCACTTAGGTGGCCTGAGAAAGGGGGTGGTGGGAGAGAGGCAGAGAACTCCTTGGGAGGTTAGTAGCCACAGGCAGCTGGGTCTGGTGGGCCACTGTGGTACCCTGTGGGTCTTTGGAGAGCAGAGACACTACTGTGTGTTGGAAAAGGGTCCTCCGTGCTTCTCTTATTTGACCTTCCCAACGAACCCTGTGAGGTAGATAATGTTTTGCATTTTATGAATGAGGAAACTTGAGTTCAGAGAACTGCAAATCTGTGTGACTGCTTTAGCAGGCATGTCTGTCTTCCTACTCTTTCCACCAAAGGGCAACATCTCTTTTCCTTCTTCTTGCATAAAGTGAACTCTTACGGGGTCTCAGATGCAAAGCCTCTCGGCATCACATAGGCCCCCACTACCGCCATCCTTCCCAACAGAAGGCTGAGAGCCTGATAGAAGGCTGTAGTCGACACAGAAGCATAGGCCCTTCACGTTCAGATCTAGTAAATCGTCCAGGTAAGATTAACCCCGATTAAATACAACTGTTTGATGTCCAGAGACTGGAAATTAACCGCTCATTGGTATTCTACTCTAGTTAACTTGGGGAGAAAAAGAATAGAACTGAATTTTCTAACCCAGTAAAAGTTTGGGTCTGTCAGTTGTCAAATAAAGGTGACATTCTGGCTGTAAGTGTTTCTGTGAAGTTTCATTCTGTCCTTACATGTTTTATCACTGGAGTCCATTGTACCTGTATTATTATTGTATTATTAGATTACCTCAAGGCAGATGTGTATCCTTCTATTTCCCTTTGCTTTCCCAGTACCTCTATTTTCTAAAATTATTATTATTTTTTTATGGGTAGTGGCTACTTGAGTATCTCATCTCTACTTCCCATCCTCAGCTCCATTTAGAAAGAGAGTTAAGATTCATTAGGAGATCCTCCCCAACGTCTTTGCAGCTTTGTTTTAGAAGATTTCATGCTTTTTCTTTTCCTACCTGAAATATAAAATTCATTTGTTACTAATTAATCTAAGGTGAGAACAGACTTATTTGGTATAAAAGCTGCTGAGGGCTAAGGACTTGATGTTCTTGGTTTGCCTTCCTTATTTCCAAAGGTGTGTCCCTCACCCCAGTGTGTGTTTGGGAAGGAAGCGAAGTAGGAGAATGAGACCGGGAAGGTATCAGTTGGCACAGACTGATTAGGGTATTGCTTTACAAAGAAAATACATACTTCCCGATGAGACACAGACTCAAATTAGTGGGACCTATTAATTGTTTCATAGTCTTTTATTGTAAGGTCTTCCTTTGGGAGAGTGGCAGAGTGTAGAAGGTGGAAGGGAGTAAGGAAACCTGGAAAAAATCAAAGGCTCTGAAAATAGCTCTGAGATAACTGAAGGAAAAATGAGCTGATGCCTCAGCCAGGCAAAGTGATGGCCAAATTTCAGGAAAGATCAAGGCTTTGTAAGCTTTTCCTAAGAAATTTATTTTTATTTTGGTTTTGGTGGTAGCAGAAAGAACAGAAAAAGGGTTTTATTCTAGTTACTTAGCAAAGGTTCCTTTTGAGAACTTTCCTTGTTAAGAATAAGAATGTTTCAAAATCTTAGTAAAATAGATTGTCATTATTATTATTATTATTATTGTTGTTGTTATTATTACTTTTTTTTTTTTTTTGGTGGAACCGGGGATTGAACTCAGGCCCTTGCGCTTGCCAGGCAAACACTTATTCTACTGAGCCATCTCCCCGGCCCTTCATTTTAGTTTTGAGATGAAATCTTGCTAAGTTGCAATAGCTGGATTCAAACTTGCAGTCCTGCCTTAGCCTCTCAGGGCAGCCATTGAGCTTTGTATCCTTGCTTTTTTTTTCTTTTCTATTCAGGAAAGAAGAGCTTCTAAATTAAGTCTTAGTACAGGTATGGAAAAAACACTAGACTCTCAGGTAGAAAATGAACTGAATGATTTGGAGAGTGGATTGGACTTTGCCCCCACCCCCAGTAAGACAGTGTGCTAGAAAGGGACAGGCAGAGGCCCTTGGGGTCCAGTGACCTGTACCACATCCCCACTCTGCTCTCTCCTGTGGGTAACCACAAGTGCTTCCTGTAGCTTGTCTCAGATTCAGGCTCTGAACATATAAGATGTGGATGATCAGGTACCTGCCTCACAGTATTGGGATTAATAATGTAAATGTTTGTATATGTGATGCGCAGAACAGTGTCTTCCTCTTTTTCACTTTGAGGTTGAGGACTGTGTAAAATACATATCTTCCGTATTCTCTATTTACCATATCTTTGCTTGTAGTTTTCCTATAATAGAAGGAAAATGTAGAATATATATTTGTATTTTCTTGTGAACACAAATAATTGCTTCCAACCTTGTTTAAAAATTTAGTGTAAGACTAAGAAGTCTCAAAGTTGCTTGAAGATATTTTCTAGAATACCAACTGCTATATTTCTTTATAGAAAGTTTATAGTTACTAGTATTGATGGCTATGGAAATATTTCATTTTTCAGTTTTAATGAACCATTTTACTACTGGTTCATGATGACTAGTTAGTAGTGACTGGTTTAGAGGTTTCTTTTCTCACCATGTGTAATACTGTAAAGAAATCAGTTGCAAACTACTGCAATTAGAAAATAACATATAAATTAGCTTTAAAAAATAGGTTGTCTTATCTCTAAATACATCAAAAATCATATAAATGCATAAATTCCTTAGAGGCAGATTGCCTTCTTATTTTTAGTTGTTCCAGCCCTCACCCTGATGCATCTTTGAGAAGGTGAAATGATGGTGGTGTTCTTGTGCATGTACCTAGGTTAAAATTTATTCATTTTGCCATTAGTAAAATTATTAGGACCAGGGGAAAACCCACATTATTATTAAGTTTAACTGTATGTTTAGTTTTTGTTTTGTTTTAATATGGTTCTCACTATGTAGTTCAGGCTGGTCTTGGATTCATGCTGTAGCCCCCTGCAGTGCTTCTGAAGAATCTGACCCCATTTGCCTTGCCTATGTGACCCCTCACTGTTGTGTAATTGTTGGTCACCTTCTCTTTTGTCTTGCACCACTACATCTCCTCCTCCTTGCCTTCTTTCTTTAAGACACTATAGAAACATATTTTCAAGGAGGCCTCTTTGAACAGATACCAGAATAATTAATGTAGTCACTGCCATCCTGAACTATGACAGTTCTTGTTCTTCTGTGCTTTGTAGTTGTCCCTATATCTGATTTCAACTCCCCAAGGGTAAGGGTGATGTCTTCAATTCATATTTCATTCATTCAGTGACATCTATCCACTGATTCTTTCTGCAGGGACAGCACTAGGTGCTGGGGATTCAGATGCTCAGGAAAAGTAAAGTGATCCCTGCTCCCATGTGACACAGACTACTTGGAGGGACAAAGTCCAGTCCCCATCCAGAATTACAACTGTGACTGTTGGTATGAATGGCAGGCATATGGTTCTGTGGTCACCACCACTGAGGATAGTTGACTTGGACAGGTCAGGACACTGTCATCACCATATCTGCTCTGAGCGATGAGCCACAAGTTGAGATCAGTTAATGAGAATAGGTGCAGGACAGTGGAGTCAGTTATATCATTCTAAATTGTTACAAGTTAATTCCATTAAGACTACAACATGAATAAGTAATTGCATTGGTCAGCTTTCTGCAGCTGGAAAAAATACCAGCCATTCATGTCTTAAAGGAGGAAAGGTTTATTTTGGTTCATGGTTTAGCAGGGTTCAGTCCCTGGTGGACTGGCTCCTGACAGAAACATCATGGAGCAAAGCTGCTTCCATCAGGGCAGCTGGGAAGCAGAGCACAGGGAAGGATGGCAGGAACAAGGACATGGCCTCCAAAGGCCTGCCTCATTGACTCACCTTCTCTAGTTGGGGCCCATTTCCTATAGTCTATTCAGCTACAGTGGATTAAACCTCTGATTATTAGAGCACTACATGATCCAACCACCTCCCCATGAGTTTTTTTTAAATTCAGTGAAGTTCAGTATACCCTACTTTTTATGCCTCCAATATCCTCCACCTCATTCTCTTTTCTATCAAACAGCTGAATTTATAACCATGTAGTGCTTGTAGGCCAGTATTGCAAAGGGCCTATGGGTGAGGGAATTCTGTGGACAGAAAGAAAGAGCAATGTATTGATGATAGAATTTGGACCAGCAGTTACCTTTGTAGCTCACATGTGTCTAGAACTATTGAGTTTACAGAAGAAGTAGGTCTTTCCCATGCTCTGAAGAATCTTGAGGCCTTGTTAGGAGACAAGATACATAGGAGCAAAACATTTGGGGAAGCCATTTAAAATCCAGTGTAAGGAAGTGCTCAGGGGTGGGGAGATAGCTCAGTGGAATAAGTGCTTGCTGGCAAGTGCAAGGTCCTGAGTTTGATCCCTGGTACCACCAAAAAAAAATTATTATTATTA